ATTCCTGCTATTTGCATGCAGCACGAGTGGGAAGTCAGAGAATACCCTGGAATACCTGGTCCTCACTCCACCACTGGTACATACTTGCATCTTTTCCAATCAAGCTCAGTTATCGCCTCTTCTCTGGGCCTTTCCTGGACCTGCCCAGGTAGAATGGCTCCCTGTGCTCCCCGCAAGGCCTCTGGCCATTTCTCTGTCCAGCAGCTAGGCGGGTCATCCTGGCTCTGAGCTCCCAGATGTCAGCAACTCTGGCCCCTTTGCACCCCCCTGAGACTAGCACAGCCCCTGGCGCTCAATAAGTGCTCATTCTGACCTCAAGGAACGTCTCCCTGTTCTGTCCCTGGCCCCTGCCGCACTGCACTACCTCCCCTACGCCTGGTCAGCCGGCCTCCCTGGCAGAGCGAGGCCCAGCCCCTCTCACCAGACAGCATGCGGCCCCTGCGGGAGGCCTCGGTCGCCAGGGCACAGGAGATTTCAATCCGCTTCTCCTGCTCCTGCAGCTGGCTCTCTGAGTCCTGGGGCACGTCCACAAGGTCCCCCTCGCCGATGGGCACCACGTTCTGCATACTAAAGAGGTACAGACACACAGAGATGGAGTGGGGGACAGGATGGTCCGACTGGCTTGGGGGGCCTGCAGACTGAGGTTGGCAGGGATCCAGGGGCCTGTGAACATGCAGGCTCCGGTTCCCAGCAAGCCTGTCCCCTGGGGTGAGTGGGACCCTAGCAAAACGCGTGTTGGGACCCCTACCTGCACCATTTAGAAATGAACTAGAAGGGTCAAGTGAATATTTAGGGCAGGCTTGACAGGGAAAAGAAGTCACCAGAGGGCAACCCATCAGTTTGTCTTGATTGACAGCGCGTGCACGAGCCCAGTAGGTCTTTTTGGCACCGATGGCAGCGTCACCAGCCCTGCCACGTGCCTGGGCCCGGTCCGCTGCCTGGAACCACTGCTTCCATTTGCTCTCTGCTGGGGAGGCTCGGGAACCCCAACCGCGTGAGTCCGGGCACTGGATTCAGTGGCACTAGTGCCCCAGGTGCCCTGGGAGCCAGGGTGGGCAGAGGAAGTGGAGGTTCACCCCAAGGCCTGTTACCTGGACTTGGCGATGAGCGTCTTGATCCTCTCCACCTTCTTCTGCTTCTCCTTCAGCTCCTCTGGGCTCAGGGGAGTGTCAGGCTCCAGGTCAATGTACCGCTCAGGGATGAGGACTTTGTCTGGGGTGGAGAGCTGTGGAGGGACCGAGGTCACCGCCTCTATTCCACCCTGGGGTTCCCCCCGCCCGGCCCTTCCTGGACTCTGCTCACCTCCTTACTGATATCCACATCATAGTGCTGGGGCTCCAGCTCCATTTTGCGGAGCCGGGCAATCTCCTCCCGGGGTGTCTCGTAGGCCTGCCCACCAGGCTCCTCTGCCCGCAGAGCTGCCTCCAGGTTGGAGATGTCCACCTCATGGATGCTGCGGTGACGGCGCACCTAGGCGGCAGCACTGTCGTGACCACGCGGGGCCTCTGTCCCACTGCCAGCGGCACCTCCACTGCCACCCGCGCCTCCAGGCAGCCCTAGCCATTCCCGTGTCCTCACTACCCCTGCCTAGCATATGCCTGACCTGGCCACCCCCCCCCCCCCTT